GAGTGTGACTTGCCCAAGGTCACCCAGTGGGTTTCCATGGCCGAGCAGTGAACTCAAACAACTCTATTTTGGCAACATATTCCATCCATGTGAAAATGTGGGTTCCTTTGTTGTGATGCAAAGCACCTTAGAAATGGGATTCAGGCATGAGAATGGATTTGAATCCTACCCCACAAACTTCTTGGGGTGCAAGAGAGAGACAGTGGGGGGAGGCTGTTGGATTGGGTGACCAGATGTCCTCCTAACCACCAAGGAGGACAAGGCATGGCATAATGGAGGACATGCTTCTCAGGCTGTATCCACATTGCAGAAATAATCTAGTTTGATACCGCTTTAACTGCTACGGATTCCTGGGGATCATAGTTTGTCTTGGCACCAGAGCTCTCTGACAGAGAAGGGTAAATGACTCCCAGAATTACACTTTCCACCATTCCATGCCATTGAGCCATGGCAGTTAAAGCAGTGTCAAACTGGATCATTTCTGCAGTGCGGATGCAGCCTGTCAGGGTCTTCCTTACTGGACCTTTTTCTTTGAATTGGAGAAAATAAAGGGTGTGTGTGTTCCTCTGGCCCCTTCCATAGATGCTGCCTTTCCATGGACTCCCTGGGGCCAGATCTGGGTAAGTGGGGCAGTGATTCCCAAACTTTGGTCCTCCAGGTATTTTGGACTTCAGTTCCCAGAAAGCCTAGCCATCTTGGCCAACAGCCAGGAATTCTGGGAGCTGAAGTTCAAAACATCTGGAGAGCCAAAGTTTGGGAATCGTGGAGAGGTTGTTTCCTGCCCCATAGTCCTTTTATAGACCTCTTTTCTCTCCCCCTTGATGCCCTCTTGAACTACAAAACTGGTGAGTTGAGGGGGGGGGGTTCCTACTTTTTCATTGATCTCTGGATAGACTTATTTCACAATCTGAGATACAAAGAGGCTCGAAAGAATCCATTTAATCCATTTATAACCCTAAGAGTGCCCCCTGGTCCTGGATTCGGGTGTACATCTTCCAGACAGAAAGACCCATAGGCTGATTTTCCTGAAAATATTGTGACAAATGTTTCTGTAGCACAGTGGTTCCCAAACTTTGGTCCTCCAGGTGTTTTGGACTGCAAATCCCAGAAGCTCCAGTCAGCTTGACCAGCAGTCAGGAATTCTGGGAGCTGAAGTCTCCAACATTGAAAGGACCAAAGTTTGGGAATCATGACTAGTGGTTTGTTCTTCTTCCAGGCTTTGGTTCCTGGGATTTTTAAAAATGTGAAGCCT